GTCATAGAAAAATTATAAAAAACGCATTGTTTCCGTTTTTTTAAAAGCTACAATTTGACTCTACACTTTTTTTTTTGATAAAATGCATATTTTTAGAGTTATTCGCCAAAAACCATTTAAAAAAGTCGATTTCTTTCGTTAAAAATCTGTTACTTTGAATAACTCAAAAAATATTAGTTTTACGAAAAAAACGTATATAACATTTGTCTTAGAATTACTTTTTCCGTAGATTCCTGCAGTTAAAATGTAATAAAAAAACCACCCCCAAGGCTCTAGCGTACAGCGGCATGATATAGAAATGATCCTTGAGCTGTACCCTACCTTTTGTGAAAATTTCAAGTAAATCCATGGTGGACGAAAAAATTGCGAGCCAAAATGCTTCATTTCTTGGACTATACTTACATTTTACTTGTAGTTAAATTTATTCATTTTAAATTTTAGCATGAAGGTTTAGTAAGGAATATTTATGGCGAGTGAAATTTACGAGAAAATAATTTCCAAGCACATCAGTATACTAAATGCCATCCGGAAATTGTAGGAAATTGCAAGAGAAAATGAATCCGGACGGTTCGAGAGGTCCAGCTGACGAACAGCATTTACTCATTTGGGCCTTCGTTATACATAACATATAGGAATGTAATATTAGGTTCTTATATATGAAATTAGCGTTTTGTCATACTGACCACTTTGATTTCAAATACCTCCTTCCTTTCTTTTGTTTTTTTCCCCATTATTTTTTTCTTTAGCGTCGCTTATTACCGCACAATGGAAAACATGAAATATCGGTATATTTACAAGTACGAGTACTAACGTGGCACCAGTGCTGCAGAAACAGCTCGAAGGATGAGTGATGTGTACGGCGCTGGTGTCGCAAAAGAAAGCACAGTTTGGTTTCAACGTTTTCGTTCTGGAAATTTCTACTTTCAGGACCAACCCCGTGGACGGCCGGAGACCAAAGTGAAACATGAAGAATTAAAGGTTATTGTGGAAGTGGATCCATCACAACGCACATCAGAGATAGCTGCAGGCTTCGGGGTAAGTGACAAAACTGTATTAATCCATTTGAAGCTAATCGGGAAACTAAAAAAACTTGAACGATGTACCTCATCGTTCAAGTTTTTGATGCCCCTCATGAATTGAGTGAATCGAACTTGCAAACACGCGTCGATTGCTGTGTTACTTTGCTCAACCGACACAATATAGAAGGGATTTTAAATCGAATCATTACTTGTGATGAAAAGTGGATACTGTACGATAATCGGAAGCGCTCGTCGCAATGGCTGAACCCTGGAGACCCAGCCAAAAACCTGTCCTAAACGAAAATTGACTCGGAAAAAGTTACTTGTAAGTATTTGGTGGACTAGCGCCAGTGTCTTTCACTACAGCTTTCTAAAATCTGGCCAAACGTTTACGGCAGATATCTTTTGTCAGCAACTGCAAACCATGAAGGAAGAACTAGCTGCTAAACAACCGAGATTGGTCAATCGCTCTAGGCCACTGCTGCTTCACGACAACGCAAGACCACACACTGCACAACAAAAAACCACTAAGCTAGATCAGCTACAATTGGAATGTCTACGATATCCACCGTACTCCCAGGACCTTGCATGGAAAAAAATTCTACTCCGATGCGGCAGTGAAATAACCGCCTTCTAAGAGTTTATTGATTCTCGCCCCCATGTCTTTTTTTAGTAAAGGGATCAATGAACTATATTATTATATATATTCCTCCTGTACAAAACGCCAATTTCATATGTAAGGACCTAATATGTGTAAAGGTCTAACTGCCTGCCATCTTAGCCCTTTGTTCGCTCATTAGGTCCATTTTTTTTTGTATTAAGTACATATTTCTTGTTCTTCAAAATGTAATTTTTTTGCAGATCGGAATACCATGTTAGTTTGAAGCAAGACCAAGCAATCAGCTATGTTGTATTGGTACCGAATAGAATTAATGTATAACGTTGTGCATGACTCCATTTGTTGAAGTTTTTAAATGTTTCATTGAGCTTTCGCATTGATTAGAGAAACAGTAGGTAACCAAAATGTACATTGTGGCGGGGGTTAGTGGTGCGTTTAAACAGAATGCTTTCAAAAACCGGATCGAAAGAAAATAATTTAAACCTTTTAAACAAAATATAGAGATTTTATTCATGTACACAATTTGAACATGACAACAATATTCACAATAGAGCAGTAAAAATAAAAAGATCGCCATCAATCACACGAACAGAGCCCTCGTTTCCGAGTGCGGGCTGGTCTAGCGAAACATTTCTTTGAATAATGAATGTACTGGCACAGGTACATATCGTGCCCCGTAACTGGACGTGATATACGCCGTCGTCGGCCGCATGCATAATTTCACTTATTTTATGTGGTTAATTGTCGAAAATGACCGCCAGTGAAATATATTAGAGTGTTCCGACGCCGACACCAGGGTGGCGGCTAATGTATTCCGCGGCTCGTACGCTCCGCCCTCACTTTGCCTTCGTCTTTGTGCTGTGTTGGTACCATAATATACGAACGACACCATGTTTTATGCAAATTCACCTATGGTTGTAGTATCAAGTCTTCGGACGTTTAAGCAGTGTTATAGTTACACAATGGAATTCTAAATAAATGAAAGGTGCCTGTCTGTGGAGGAAAATTGAGTTCTGTGCAGAGAGAATAAATTCTCGTAGAAAGCGCAACAGCAGGAGAGTAACCGCTGCAGTGGATGCACAATCGCGGTAACTCGCGTCTACAATACCGCTGCATTACAATTTTTCAAAGCAGACATAGGCGACAGAGCATAACAAAAGAGCTGGGAAGTCGCAAATAAACGAGCGCTGCGGCAACCGAGTACACGCACGCGTTCCCCTTCTGGAGAACTAAATCTAAAGCGTAATACTAATATCACGGTTTATCACTTTAGTGAAGCCCATGAATGTAGTGCAATCCCTCTTTTTGATTAACAACTTAATCAAAAAGAGGGATATAAAGAAAGGAAGGATTTAATTTGTGTAATGTAACTTTTAGTCGGTACCTAAACGCGAAGTTTCAAAGGCTATGTAAGATGTTTGTAAGGAATATCTCTACATTTAGTGCTTCCTCTGGTGTACGATGAATGCAGGCAGATCGGGTGGAAAGATACGGGGCGGCCGGCGTGGCGCCCGACGCGGCTTCGCGGTCGTGCTTTGCGGGCGGGCTACGCTATACGGCAAAGACACAAAAGTTGCAATCGTGCCTAGATCTACCGTAAGTCCGCCATTTCGTTTCGTAAACATATATATCCGTTAGTAAAACAGTGGACAGCTAAAATGATTTTAGGATAAATGAGTGAAGCATAGGTAAAATAGAGCATTGTAAATATTTCAAGTTGGATTAGCGGAACATCAAAGGTATTTTTTAACATTTTATGCTAATGAAAACGAAAACTACACAGCGCCATTTTATTATCTATTGGTCAAGTCTAGTTTGCAGTAGGTAATAGAAACAATAGCACAGGTTGGTGGTCTATTATAAATATAAATACACTATTTTATCTGATTGATTTTTACTGTAGTTTACCAGGTTGCAATGGATACTAAGAACGCATTCCCCTTTTCAAGTTACCATGGGAGATAACTATGATATAGTCTGTCTGTCATGTTGTTTTTGGAGACTTATCATCTAACACTCGGTTTATAAAGTACTGCCCGATTTAAGATTTATCCCAGCGAGTCGATACAGGAGACAACTGGTATTATAGCTCAGGCACAGTTAAAAAAACTAAAGTATTGTTAATGTTCTATTGTTTAACTAATGCCTTTTACTTAACTTTAAAATTTTATGTCTACGATAAATGTATGCGCGTGTTAAACAATGACGCTATCTCATCTACATTTTATAAATAAGATTTGGTAAAACTTCTATAAACCGGATTTCACCTTGAAATTTAAACCAAGGGCTTAAAAAACGAGTTGTTGATGATCGTTGTTGATCAGTGTCAACAGACTATGCAGCCTTATACTGGTTTCTGATAAATATGTTTAGTTATTCAAGCCGTTATTATACCTGTCGATTTCTAGTTCAGTAATTTTCTGATATCCATAGTGGTTGCGGAAAATCCAGTTTTAAACTTCTTCATTTAATTTTAATTAACCAATTTTGCCGACTACTGCTTGTATAACCTTCAACTTAGTTGACTTCAAAAAGGTTCTCAATTCGGTTGGTATATTTTTTTTTATTCGTTCGATACTCTTTGCGTTGATAGTGCAAGTGGCAATGTAAAAAAACATTGATAAAAGTACCATCTATTATAGGTATACTTTAAACTCATATTCACACTATACTTACATTCTAACAATGTAAGTATAGAACGAATATGCATTTTTTTTTTCTATCTTCGATAAACTTGAGTATATAATATTAAGACGAGACAAACTGTTGATGCTGTCATATCATAACATAGCTTTGACAAAAGGCTAACTAAGAGATTAATAGGTATCATAACGAGCCCTTACCGCCAAATTATCGTAAGCGACACTCGCCAAATTATTATAACAGAGATTGTTGATATTTCCCTCCAAAAGAACACCGTTATAATATAATAGAGGGAAGAATAGAGGGAAATATCAACTGAGATGGGTCCGTTACGGTTTAAAATATTAGTTTCCACAAAAAACGCATTTCGACAAAAGTGTCGCTTACGATAATTTGGCGAGTGTCGCTTACGATAATTTGGCGGTAAGGGCTCGATAATATTGTAATCAAAATCTAAATAACATAATTATGGACGTAAATCAAATATGATTTTACATGAAAGTTGTACTTAGAGGTTACAGTGATTTCGATAGCATTTTTCACTTTAAATTAATGATTTCTGAAAATAAAATATGAAATTTATATGTAGCTGTCGTCTTTAACGTACAAATAATGTTGTGAGTGACACTATCTAAGTAGCAGAAATATTTCATCGTACTTTGTTTGATAATTAAAAACCGCAGTATGCAATTGTAAACAGTATTTAAAACAATTCTTACAATTTGTAATTTGAGATCTTTCCCGGCCGCAGCGGCGGCTGTGACCGATGTAGTCACTGGCGACAACCACTGATGTAAGTTTATATACCGTTTAGGTAAAAGTTTTAGTGAAACATCCGCTTGCGCATAAGCACGCTCGAGACAAGCGGCGGCCGCGCCATCGAGGGCGAGCGCCGGCTCGAGCAAAGCCCCACCACCCTCTAAAACCACCATGAGTCTAACAGTGCGTCACCACAAAATCACAACAAACACAGAGAGGATCCACGAGTACATTCACGCACGGGGCAGGCTACATGTCTGACTAAGAGCGCGTCACATCCGACCGGCGAGCGTCGCGGAACTGGCGCTTCGCTCGGCACCTGCCGGGGCGGTGGCGGGCCGCGCCGTGCCGCCCGCGTCCCGCTTTGCGCCGCCCACCAAATCGTCAACAAAACACCGTTGCTGCAGCGGTCGCCCTGCATCCACAAAATTGTACAGACTTCTTTCGTTCCAGTTACATAACTGGTCTTATTTACTTCGCAACAAGTTTATCATATAGTGTCCCAAAACTTTGTCACATAGAGTAAAAGTACCTTGAATAGTGTAGATAGAAAGTTATGCTGAAAAATAAGACTTCATTTTTATTTTTAAAAACAATACTATCTGCAATCAAGAGATTTTAAAAATTCACCAGCCTGAACTGCGAGTCAAACCTGCTATTTATGAAAAATAATTTATCGGTAATTTTACTGTACCAATCAAAAGACTCAATCATAATCATCTATTTATTCTAAGTAACATAGTAGCATCTAAAATAAAAAGAAGATAATGAATCTAATGGATGAACATACAATTTTGGACAGAATAACGAATTTCCTTATCTCTATATCGTACTTAGTACAACTGGCTCTCAAATGAAACGTTGTGATGAGGCATGTTAACGAGGTTTATTACCACTTTTGCATAATTATCCATCATGGAATGACAACTTCGATGCTCTTTCTATGCCAACCCTGTCATACCCAGCGTGAAAGTGAATAGTGATATATTTTTTATTTGTCAAGATCTTGATCCTATATCTAGTCCGAGGCAGGTTAATATTTCAATCTCAATCTATATTTAGTTCTGTAAAAAATGTTAAACTTGAATTTGAAAATAATTGAAAGGCTTGGAAGCCATTTCTCATTAACTAAGCACTCGAACCCACATTATGGTTTGTTGTATATAGGGCGGTTGTTAATAACACGAAACAATAGAAGAGTCCCTGAATAAATGGTCGATGAAATTTGTCCACCAAAGTTCTAAAATGGCACGAGGCGTCGATTTCTGCCACGTGACTAATTATAGAGCTCCACCTCTTAAAATAATTCAAACGCTTCTCCATTCCAACAAAGCAAACTTCTAAACAATCGGAAATATCAAATGAAATTTTGTATGCTTTCAAATGTTATGCAGCTAACAGTTTCATTTGCGATAAAACTGTATACCTACTTATATCAGTTAAGCAATAAAATTATCATTATTAAAAATGTATCATTTTAATGTTATCATTGTTAGAACAAAAATGCAACCAAAGTCACCTAATGACTATTTAATATCTGTTAAGCAAAATCTTTCTATGAAGGTGCGTGTATTTCCATCACGATAGTCAGTCAGAAAAAATACCTTGTGTGATAAATATAAAACACAAAATATGTCTTCCATACGACCATAACCTATTTCCGAATCCCGCGATAGTCAAAAGTTGAAAAAAGCTGGTCCAATAAAAACCACAAACAAAGAAATGAGTTTCAGAAATGCGTGATTCAACTTGAATCCAATTTATAAGAATGTCCCCCAGAGAGATATACCAACTGATGGTAAAACTTAAGTAAAAAATCGATTCAATCTTATTTATAAATAAAGTATTATAGTGAAAAAATATTTGGTTTTGTTTTCAAAAGTATTTATTACCTATAGGTCTGCTTTGTAAAGAAAAATTTGAATGTCGTAATATTATTATGAATATCAGCGGATGGCATCAACTCATTTAGCAGCAAAACATTTGGTATTCACTCATTCAAACGCATAATTTTGCGAGCCACAATAATTGTTATGTATTAATTTAAAATCAACAATAATTAAAAAGCAGAACCATTATATCACAGAACGTTCGTAGTCAGAATTGACTTTTGGCATACCAAAAATTTACTTTGCCGGCCGCTGCCGCGGCACGCTCGCTTCGCTCGCTTCTCTCGTGCAAAATTTAGGACACCACACTAACGTAATCCGCTAAATACGAACAGCGATTTAAATTTAACGAAATTATGCCTTATAAAATTCTGCCCCCTTTAAAGTATCCCAATGAAAATTCGGGACATATAAACATTCTGCCATATTTATATTTACAAAAAAAAGTCGTTTAAACAATAATTATATTTACAAAAAAAATAGTCGTTTAAAGAAAATTACGCCCATTGTGTAATGCCAAATGAATTTCGGAGCAACAGATACAGGGAACCTTAAATTCTGTAGGTGGCTCGAGTTAATGATAAATAACAGAAATAAAGATGTAAACACGCAGTGGAAGTTCTGCCAGTCAAAAACGGTATTATACCGCTGAAATTAATTTACCATAAACACTGGTATTAATAGACGCGAGACAATAAGCAACCCCCCGCGAACTCTAGTCAGTGGCCTAATGTAACGCAGCACGCGACCACGTCGTCGCACTCCGACCTCGAAGCGAGTTATACATTTTTGTTTGCATATAACGCATAAATACGATGATGCTACAAGTGCTTATTAATCAAATCAGAGTCGTAATAATAATTCTACTAAGTATACGTAGTAGTGAAGTCAAAATAAATCACGTAATTATAATACGTTTGCATAATTTATCCATACATGTTATTCCAAGTATCTTCCATATTTAGAACCAACGTTTTTTTAAAGTGTGCAGCATATGTTATGTGTGATTATAGTCCAGTCGAGAATGCTGATGAAACAGACACGTGTACCGCTCTAGTTATCCTCACTTTGACGTAAATCGTAGATATTTGTCGATGTTGTGTGTTGACCCTAACTCTGGTTTGCTTTAGGTAGAGCTTACTTCTTCAGACGTGGCAGTGCCACTCTTTAAATAACACAGATAAGGAAGTTACTTAAATTGGACTCCAAGGTACCATGCGTATCTAAGGTATAGCAGAAGATCAGTTAACGCTAAAGATTTAGTTTTGAGTCAGTTCTATGAAACTGTCAATAAAATCAATTTCAATTGAATGTATTTTATTTTCTTTTTTCATCATGTTATACTATGATCTAAGAGTACAAAATAGTTTAAGAAATACTGTTATATCTTTGATTAAATGTTGGTTTGCAGAGCGAGATATTTTGACTTAAGTAGAGAGTTCCGTGTTATGTTAGAAAAGGAGTCGCTAAATTGAAAAGTAACAACAAAAACAAACAATAAATGGGAACATCAATTATTCCACAATTCAAAAGATTTTAGCAAGTAGGTGGTACGTCTCGGCAGCTCGCCTGTCAGTCTACAGAACATAATGAACTTTCTTTTCCACGGCAATGTCAAGCGAAGCATTTTTAATGAACTTCGTAATTATTTAGTTAACAAACCACACCGTCTTTTCGTTGAAATATTTTCGTTGATTCTATCGAATCAAAAGCATTAAATATTTGGACATCCACGCCTACATAACAAAAGCTATCGATTATTTTAATTATACCTATTTAATAGAACACTCAATTTTGTGTTTCATGCGTCCAACTTTTAATACGGAATAACAATAGATTATTCAAAAGTTTCACAGGAAAAATAATATTTATTTTTATGAAGCTGAAACTAGCAGACACATCCAGCAAGCGGGGCTGTCACAAAACAGACGTAAACATATTTCCGGCGATTTTTTGGTTTTTCTTATTAATTTAATAAGTAAAGAAATGTAATCAAGTTGCTCTTAAGAGGGTACCTGACGCTATTTTCAAATACAGCTAAGATGATATTGATAGATGATACTAATAGGGTTAGGTGCCCTCGTGAAAAATAATTGACCTTCCTTTACTTTAAAAGAATAAGAAAAACCAAGACAGTGGCCAGAAGTACGTTTTTAAGACAAAAGCCTAAGTTGCCACGTGGCAAGGCAAAGGCAAGAGCATAAGTTTTAACGTGCTTAAATCATGTTTTTGTTTCGCAAATTTCACCTAGCTATACTTAAAATTATCGTAAGTCGTGAAAACGACTTGATTTTCTTCCTTTACTTTTAATAAATAAGAAAATCAAAACAGTTGCCAGAAATACGTTTACAGTCTGTATTGTGGCGGCCCCTCTGCTAGATGTGTCTGTTACAATGTCTACTAATTTCAGTTTCATGGTGTTTTTATGAAGTCGATTTTTATAAGAGCAAAATAAGCTGACTGAATAAAAGGATCTATAGATTTTATTTATTTATCTGGCTTAAAAATTTACAAATAAACGATTATTTTCATGATATAACAGTTGCAGAACTAAATAATTCTTGTCATTTTCTCGTTTCTTGTCGTTCTTGAACGAAATTTCAAATCAAATAATGAAATTAAGATGTTTAAAAGTAGGTAAAGAAGGTACGTGTTAATAAGGTGTTAAACATTTGTCCATGTGCGTATATCACGACGAGGTAGGTTGGTGTGCTAAAATTTTATTCACATGTGTATTCGCCTTTAGCAAAGAATACGTGACATTTGATGATGCAATATCGTAGGAAGTTAGTGTTCTTAAACAATAATTTTAAGGATTATGCAGTTGCGCTGTCTGGTCGCAATGCTACGACGTCCAAGCGGAGATTGACACTCGGCTAGTGTGCCGGCCACCTCAATTATTCACATGACACACCCCGACTGCCGCATCATCCGCTTGCTGCCAAATTAAAAGTAAATAACGAAATGAAAACAAGCGCGCCCACGCCGCTAGGGAGCCGCAAACCTTTTATCGTTGTCGGGTAAACAACTACCACCAGCTAAACACACTTCATCATTCTATCGACTATGTATTTGCGAATGAATGCAGATAAAAAGCGGAGCGCTAGCAGTACTTTATAACAAAAACAAGAACAACATCAAACATCTAATCCAATGGAGAAACCATAGCTCACTGGCTTTGTGATTAACTTACTAGTACAATAAATTAGTACATAGGTATATTATTTGTTTTTGTGGGTATATTTTATTTTAATAACACTAATATTTGTAGAATGTAAACTTTTTGATCCTGATAAAAATGAATTATACATGCTGCAGTAATTATTCTATATATAAAATCTTTTCTTCAGCGATTTGTTTTAAATACACTATACGTCGCAGTACGCACCCTGATTGTGTTTCATGAAATTTCTGCACACCGTTCACACCAAAAGCCACTCAACAATCCGAATTTGCTGTTTGAAAACTTGAGAACAATCTGTCTTTATCATGGCTTTATTAAGCATGAATTAAATTTACAAACAGCATTATTATTATTATAAAAATATATGCAACTAAAGATGCGTCGTCGCGTAAAACATGCAGTGCGTGGAAATAATAATGTTTCGAGTTTAACAAAATATTTCCTATTACATGATTATTTCTATTTAATAAATAAACAGCCTCGGAGGCGTGAAAAATTTTAGATTGGTAAAAGTGTGGTGTGAGTAAGTAACAATAAAGGTCGCAAAATCCAGCTGAACCCATTGCTGAACCTGCCGAGAGCAATTTTGAAGAACAATAACACTGGGATGAATGCTAGCACCGAAGTAAAAAGTCTATTTACTTCCTATGCACATTTCGTACAACAATATAAAAATCGTATGGAGAAAGAGCGTGTATGCAGTGAATTATTAGTCAGCATATAAGTACACCATAAAATATCTTTGATACTTAGCGTATTTAGTTAAGAGTAGTGTAAGACAGCGAGTTCATTAGTGACAACGGCACGTGTACCATTGCGTTGGGTAAGACAGGTGGGACAGTAACGAGCGGTCGCCGAGTCATCGTGGGGTGTGAGAGTAGCCCTTAGCGGCGAAAATTGACACAAGTAAAGTATGTCACAGTGGATCATTATTTCAACACCTTCGTTTTATACCACAATACAGGGTACACAAAAACTATCTTAAACATTATTATCATATTTTTTCAGGGGGGAAAAATTACGGAATATGAAGTGATATTTTAGTGAAAAACAGAAGTATATTGTCTTAAACAGTATAGTTGGCAACCCTACCTGCTTCTGAATTTGTAAAGTAGACATACATACGAATGAATTAGAATATGTGATAATCAGCTGGGATAATAGAGAGCAGGCTATCGACCGTGTAACAATTGACAGGCGTCAATTAATATAAGCGTGCAGATTGCAATAATTTCTTTGGCATACCTACTTGTAAAAGCCAAATAAACACGTAGATTACAATCGCACAGTTTTAGTAGGATTATTAAGACAAGTATCATCGAAACAACGGATAAATAAATAAATTTTGTTATAGATATTAGGAACTTCAATGCAAAAAACAGAGGTGAAATCGTAAACAGTAAAAAAAAAATAAAGAAAAACAATAGGCAGAAGTAATTTAAAATTGGCTGGTGGTATGTAGGAAGTGATGGTTCTCAAGCAGCCATCAAGACAGCGCGACAGGAGTTGAACGGCCGGGCACCCACCGGAGCGTGGCTCGGCATCGCATGCCACCTCCGATGTATTACTTACATCATTCACACGGTTACCAATCTTCATACCGCCGTACCTAAATCAAGATAATACCAGACTGACCAATTTCTCGGAAATGAATTCGTATTCACTTGCCAGCTATATTCATTTTATGTGGACTCAGAATTTGGAAACATATGTTAAAACTTAATTTTAACCGAATTTAAAGAAAAAGGACTTTAGACAATTTGACGCTTTTGTCAAATTGATTACGTTCTTGACATTGACATATTCAATATCAGTCACGTGCCAAAATAAGCCGCACGGATGTCACATGACGCTGTTTAAAGTATCTAGAAAGACGCGGCCTGCGGTGGCGACCAATTGTGTTTGCTTACAATGAAATGCCGGCACTTGGCTTATTGTATTTGCTACTTGTAAACTTAAAAATGGTCTGTCTTTATAAGGATAGACTGGTGTCAAGTTTACAATTAGCAAACACGAAAAGCCAGGACGCGGCTGGCCGTGGTAGCTGGCCCTACCCCCTCCACCACTGCATATGACCTGTGTGTGAGCTACACATTAAAGCATTAGTTTTGTATAATAAGAAAATAATATTATTATCTTTTTGCCGATGTTGATTGATTTCGTGGATCCATACTTATGTTATTTGTAATACTAGATAGGATAGGTGCCCCACAGATTTTTAGTTACCCTTTTTTCGTCGTCTAAAAGGGTTCTAATAAGATGAGGTAAAAAGAATTCGTAATGATTAGCTTTGTTAACTGAGGTCCTTCCATAGCACAAATACTTACCACAGCAAATGCCGCTTCAGGCGGTCAGCCACTGTGACCTCGGTAGTGTTGTCGCGGCGGCCAGAGCGGCAGGCTCCCTGTCTGTGAGACCCTTAATACGGCAGTAGAGATAACTTTTCAGTAAACGCAACAGCCTTCCGGAATGGCGTTTTGTGCATGATTTGCCATCTGTGATACCCCAAAAAAATAGCGAAGCGGATTAAGAACAGGACTTGATGACTGACGGCCAGTCTTTCTGTTGAAATCAGAAACGTTGGTCCTTAACGTAACGTACAGTAATTACAACAAAGATAAAACGTTTTGATGGATATTTGATCACTCGATAATTATTACGGTCTATTTCCTTCACAAACATAGTGGCTATAAAGGTTACAGTAAAAGAGGATTTGTTTAAGAAGAATAAATTGATGAACGTGATCAATTTTATCAGGTGTGAAAGAAACGTGTAATAATATAATAAGTGAATAAAATTAATTCTTCAAATAAAATAAATATTCTATGATTATTGTTTCAATTAAATATACTGATTTAAGTAACCATAGATATAGGTAATTAATAATCGTAATTTACATAAATGATTCAATGACTGTCAAGTTAATGAACCTAGATTATTTCAACAATAAAGCTATTGTACATAGCTTCTTCAAAGAAGGGCGATTTAGCAGATTTGTGTGACAAAGCATTTCACGCATAACAAAACCGTCGATTTGAAAGAACAATGACGCGAGTCAAAACAGGTATCTCGGAAAGGCGCGATGAAATATAACAAATCGCTAGCGCAACAAAAGAGGCTTTCTCGTGGCCATTACCACGAGATACCTACCTTTACGAAAAGCAAGGTGCGAGACGAGAGGAGCGATTAGCGTATGCGGTCCGCAGTCAGACTCGAAGCACAGAGCGGCAACATGCGCTGCTCCCTAGAGGACGGCCTAATTTACGATTGCTGCAAAGAATATCTTCGACATAGGTTCCTTGTTTGCGAGCCACTAGCGACCAAACCGGCATCTCCTATTACTATCCCTTTGTTTTTCATTTTATAAGCTCAACAAAATGTAAAATTGGTGCTGAACGATTGAATAAATAAAATTTCTTATGAGAGCTACGTTTTTGGGGTAGACGACAGGTAGGTATGTGCAGCAACCGTAATAAGGGCCACCATAAAACGTTACATTAGGTAACAGCGGCTTCTGGGGCGGCTATAAATATATCCGTTCGGAAGTACGGCCAGTGTCCCGCGGGAGGACGACACTCGTTCGAAGACTGAACATGTCGCACGAATAAAAACCATTTCTCTCACATCTCGCGCTCACCGAGAGCGCTCTATCTCTAATCAATATCACTTAACCATAACGTTGACTACTCTCTCATACACGACCATAATCGTAACTTTAGGAGATGATCTATAAAAACGAATGTTTTATTTGTATTTATTTCTAATGATTATTAGAATCCCTCACAATGAAGTTTTTAAAAAGGGTCTTAATAATAAATTAACGATTGAAAAACAATACGTTAACAAATAAACGTATCGATGTCTTCTAGTAAAAAAGTACAGGAACGGGCCTAATGTGTCGTTCATCATAATTAACTGACAGAACCAGATTGTCAGGTAACATATTACCAAAGTTAAGTTTTATTTTAGATTCCGTGGAACATAACCTTCTAAAAAATATTAATCTAAAAAGTATCGTTAATTTACATTATTGAAAGCATAAATTAATGTAATGCAATAAAATCGAACAGTGAAAACTGAAAACAGTACTTAAAAAACCCATCTGGCCATGGAACCTACAGGATCCATAAGATAAAAAAAGAAGAATTAAGTCGCGCGTGTTCTAAGTTAATAATTTTCCAAAGCGATTACGCTTTTCCATATATAACATATATAACGAATGATAGTGGCATCTACCAATGAGTTTAGTGTAGAGACTGGTTACGTGACTTTCGCGAGAGAAACGTTCTTAGTTTCACTAGATGACTGCAAAGTGAAAACGAACGCCTACCAGGCTTATGGCAGGATGTTGAATGCGTGTGATTGGTTTTTATGGATTTCTCATTATAAGCAGTGTAGTGGTGGACCTGATTTTAAAATGTCATTTTAAAATGTTTATGCAGACAAAAGAGAGTCCAACTGATGGTAAAAGATCACTGCATCCTATGGGCAATTGCAGCACTTCTTATCTGTTTTCTGCAACCCAAAAAAACTTTCAGTCAGTTTGCTTCGGCAAAAAATAAAGTCGGTCCTATAAGTGAGGGTTGGGGATATGCTGGAGAAAACGAATATAAAAGTTCTTCATGTACTTGCTAGCCTATTAAAAACGGCCGTCATCTATAAATCGTTCGAACAATAGGTATGTTATGCACGTCGAAGATATGAAAATAAAGTAAGCAAGAAAATCATCAGTATAGCTACCTTATATAGCGCGTACCCAGAAGAGCAGCGGGATATATATATGGAACCATACACATATACCTAATATGTGAATTTAGTAATTTGAAGAAATGTCTAATAATACCTTCTTAGAATTTCACCGTACAGATGAAGACTTCAGTGTGTGGTATTGGTATATCTTAGCAAATACACAGGACCGCAAACAAACCGGGTCACCCCCGGAAGTGAAATGAATGAAATACATACTATCAAAGTAATACCTAAAAAGGTGCGTTTCATGATGATTAATTTTTTTTTCAAAAGTACTGTCAACTTTACTGTGTAATTTGAGTTGTATAAGGCTGTGTCGTCAGAATTATGACTTTTTTCAAGCTACCTTCGAAAGTCTTTTTAAAAGTCTTCGAAGGTAGCTTGACGAAAGTAAATATCACGATACAGGTTAAAAAGATTGCGAAATGTCAAAAAAAAAGACAAATTTTGAACCCGTTTAAGCGTGTTTCATTTAATGAGTGTCGTGCGTAGGCTTGCCAGGTGTCCGGCTTTAGCCGGACATGTTTGGCTTTTTGCGGTCGCGTCCGGCCAAATATGTACGTACGTGTTTGGCCTGTCCGGCTTTTGTCAGGCTTTTTGTCAGAGTGGCGATTCGTACGACGGTGGGCGGACGAGCGTCAGAGCGGACAAGAGAGCAAACTGTAGGCGCGCGCGGCGCGTGACGTGAGCGTGACTACCCCGCCCCGCTGTCCGATATAATAAATATGTCCGGCTTTTAGGGCAAAATGTCAGGCCTTATATAGTGCACAGTCTGGCCTTTGCATTTTATGGCCTGGCAGCCCTAGTCGTGCGTGAAAACTAAAGAAACAAGAACATAATCTTAACGATTTGCAATTTTTTTGATAAATTTGTCATTAACGTTCTTTTTTATAAAATGAAGATAGTCTGATATTTCCCATCATTTCTTTAGTTTTTGTCCATACATTTCTCAGACACGTGTTTTGTAACGTTTTTTAAACGGATACGGATTCTGTGGAAAACTCTTAATAACAACTTAAAAGGAAAAATAATTAATCTCAATAAATTTCTGTTCATTTTAATCATCATGAACGCACTCTCTATAGGCATAACTTTGATAGTTGTAAGTTTAATACTTTTTCAGAAAATGCAATCAGACTTCCGAAAGGTACCAAGTGGCTCAATTTATTTGCTAGCCCGTGTATATTCGCATACATATAATATATAACTACAGTCGTGAGCGTGATCATAATTTTAACTAAACCAAAAGTCGTAATCCAATCCAACCTGCACACCGTCTAATGTATTATGTATAAATACACAGACATCGAAGAATAGAGAGGAAAAATGTAAATATGTACAAATTTGATGTAAGCATTAATAATTCGTTACGCAGCTAGAAGTCCAAAACGGTCGGCGGTTGAATAAGTCAAAATCACCTTACCGAAGTAAGAAAAGTAAACAGAGGGAGACCCTGAAATTGCTTGCGTTATTAGATGAACCTCAAAAGTTTAGGGCAGTTTAGTTTACAAAGGTAAGCTTTTGAGGTTTGCTAGGTGAGTTTACTCAAGTAATGTTAATAAATGAATGAGTGAGACAGTAAAATTGTTATTGAAAAAAATAAAACATTATTATTTCATGCTGACAAGCTCTAATCGATCACCTCAAGGTGAACTAGTAAATAAATTAGCTTAGTAAGCAAGCTTGTATTTAAGGGCATCCCAAGAGGCAATACTCGCTTGCAACATGTCTGTCAAATGTCTATCAATTACAATCATTAGTGACTATTGTGAGTGAGTGTGTGTTTATTAATTGGTTTAATATTCTCATATCGCTTGATAATAAAATAAATAGTCTGCAAATTAGTCTTGGAAACGCAATTATATTATTAAACTCTAGCTAAACAAATTCATCGTAACATTTTTATTTCGCGTCATTTAGACAGCACAAAGGCATTGAGTCCAAACTATTTTCTATTCTGGTATAACATCGAAGTTTAATTCAAAACTACACGGACGTCGAATAAAAGATTCGGGTAAAATTAAGAGTTTAAATACAAGTTTGTTGATTTCATAAAAGGTCAAAATTAAGTCTGGTTGTTCTAAATAACAATCTACAAAGCGAGTAAGTGAATTTTAAATAAAAGAGCGAGGAGTCGAGGCTCGCGAACCTAAGTTTTGTCATTGTTTCTATATTGCGCGGGGCAATTAGCGCAACTTGGACGCGCCGCGGCGTCCGCTCTCTGCCAGCCACCCGCGCCCTCTCGCCAATCAAATTACGGAACACCGCTACTCGCCCTCCCGAACCATTAAAACAAACCATTTCAATTCCGTTACAACATCGACACTCCAACTAATGACGAAAAGAAACCGATTCGACAATTTTAATTTTCAAGCAAATTGAAATATTCATGAAATGCAAAATAATGACGAGTGTTATTTGTGAATATTTTTTTACTCGTTGTTTTTATAAGGTACTGTACTGTACTGTGTAGTGTGGTACAGTACCTAAAATATGACGGTTGACATGCCATTGAAATATGTATTATGTGACGATAATAAATAGTAATTTCTGTTACTTACAAAGTATAACGAGAAGAAAATAAATTGTTGAAAAAATGAAAGCAGGCATGACTTATATTATTTTCAAGTCAATCCTAATTAAAGTTTAGGTACTTAAGCGTTATGGGCCTACCACACGTACGAGCTTCACCACAGTTTTGCCTGCGCAGGCCGGTTTGTACACGGAACACGGTGCGTGTAGTTGGTAAAACTGTATCACGCGCCAACCCCACAGCGCGGCCTGCGCATTTTTCGACTTGCTTGAAATTTTGCCTGCGCAAGCCCGGCCTGCGCGTACTTGTCTGTGCGTGTGGTTGGGCGTTCAGTGTTCAAGCCACAGTCGAGTGTACTTTGTGTACGAGGCTCGCTCGTCGTTTCATGAGGTCGTTCGTCATCGTCACTCAAAAATGGCAGATTTGCGTACGTACAATCGCGAATTCACGTCTGAATTTATTAGTTTATACAAATCTCTGCCTGCACTCTGGAAAATTAAATCTAACGATTAAAAAGAACGACGCCTACGAAAGAATGATAAATAAAATGAAAGAGGTAAGAACATAATTTTTGCAACTAAATACCTATGCCTAATACCTACTACCTACCTACTTGCACATATTATGTACATATCCTATTGTTTGTACATGTTTTTTTTAATAGCAAACACTTGAAAAATAGTAGCATAAGAAATGTTTCTTCATTAGGAAACATTGTTTCCACGCCAATGATTTCGATACGAATGAGGCTTGCGCGTACTTAACTGTGCCGTGTGGTAACGCACAAAGTGTACAGTTTTTTCGTGCGAGATGCTTGCGCAGGCCAAACTGTGGTGAGCTTGTGCGTGTGGTAAGCGCATTATGATATAAATTGATGGATGATTCAATTTAGGTGACAGATCTACCATTTTAGGAACAGATATTATTTTTTAAGTCACTGAAAATGCAATTGATTGTGGATTGCTAAGTAATAGAGTTCCGTTGGTGTGATCTTTGAGTACCACACCCACACTACGAACGGATGCGAACATCATCATCATCAACAGCCTATCTTAGTCCACTGCTGACATAGGCCTCTCCAAATGCACGCCACTCAGATCGATCTTGGGCTACATAATATAATAATAATAGTTAATTGTCTCGTAAAATTCGACAAACAAAACCATAAACATAAGAATTGATAGACAAGGCACCAGCATCACAGACGCTATCTTTGTACTGCCGGAGTCTACCTTACAAAGGACGTTATAAAATTATATGTAGAAATTAATAATCTAGTAAATCTTAATACTTTAATAAAAACATACAGAAATGAAGCGAAGGTTAATATGCATATGGATGGATAGACATTTAACATTCGTTGTATTAATACAATTGCATACCTGATGTCATCAGAGGAGGGTGTCTGAACTAAGCAAAGCATGATTATGTTTCCAAAAAGTTGTGCAGTGTTTAACAGTGTATCTAGTGTAAGGCTATGTAATTACAGCACCAGTGCGGCTGGAGTCGGCGATGTCGCGGCTGCACACCGACCGGCGGTAATTACCGCAGCGGGTCGATGGGGCGCGGCCCATCTCCTGTCAAAAGCATCGCGTGCCGAGCCTGGCTGCCCGTATTAAACGCTAGCGAAGAACCCGTGCCCCATCAGATAAAATACAATCAATTTCGCGATCTACATGTCTCTACGTCGGCACCACCCCTGGACTGACGTCACGCCTTACTTATATATAACGCTTAGGTATAGTGCCAGTGAGGCACTGGTACCACTTGGTTTTCTCTTTTCTGAACCATAATACACCAGAAATAGTGTAGATATAACGAATTTTAAGCTCTACAACTTAGGATATATATTATACATGCAGTATTCTTTAACGGATCCTTATGTTATAGCGCGCAAGAACAAAACGCCTCGCTTAATCAAGGCATTCCCCGACGCTATAGTGCGAGGTAAAGTCACGCGATCGTTTTATCGCACACCTTCTTTCGTGTTTTATAGACAGATAAAGTTTGTTTAAAAACTTTGCATGTCTTTAGTATATTGACGTTCTTATCGTGACAAGTGGTGTAACATCGGCCTCCTCGACATCCTAATATGAAAGCTTTTCACGCATTAATTCGCCATGTTTTTGTTATATTTAGGATTATATTATTTTTTAATGAATACGATTAGAAGTTAAAGAATTGAAGAATATACAGCATCTTAGTAATACCCTCTTAATATAATTTACGATCCTTGATCAACACCAGTCAATATAAAGAGCTCTAACCACTATGAAAATAAAGTAAACAAGAAAATCCTCGAGTCAATTTGGTATTATGAGGTACCTAATGGAGAGTAACGGGCATGATTTAGGTGGTGGTGCGGGCACGCGGTTCGCTCGCGGGCAGCACAATTATCGGCCCGCGGGCGCTCTCAATTACAAAGAGGAGCACCCGTGGGACTACACCTCCGAGCCGACTGGGCCTAACCGCAAATCTCCAAGTCTTACCGTCTTACGCTCTGCTAGTTGCAAAACAGACGAAATAATTTAAGTCTGCTTGTTCTTTTGTTATATTTTTATATTATAGGGGGCATACGAGCTGACGGCTCACCTGATGAAAAGTGATCGCCGTCGTTGTTCTTCTGTTATTTGAAATTATTTTCAAAGTAGATATTAATAGGTTAAATCATGTTGTTCCATTGAGCAACAACTAGCCACTAGTTTTCTTTTACATTATGTAAGTATACAAGAAATATCTACAGGTCTCTCTAGGTATCCTGTTTTAAACCACTACGGTTTGAAATGATTTCTAAGTTTCTATTCAAACTATATTTTAGAAGATCTTTTATTGCCTTTCGTCTGTTTTTTGAATATGATAACTAATCTAATGCTATGTAATAAATAATAGTTACAGGATATTTAAAAAAGTTATACGATTTATTCAATAAACGAACGGCAGATTGAGGACGCTATCGGGTCGAGTGTCGCGTTTTAATTTGCGAGGCGACACACGAGTGGAGTCCGTGCAATGGTTTGTGGGAAACGACGTGTCGAGTACCCTGCTAATTGCAACGTCATACTATCCTGCGCGTCATCCGCAACCTCTAGCCGATCATCAACCGCAATAAAACTATTTTTATCAACAATTTAAGTAAATACCCAGCAGACATCAAAACATATCATTATAATCTGCGTTTCGCTGCATGAATCTCTCCCAGTGGAGTAATCTGATAAGCTTGGACCAAAACGCAACAACAGTTATCATATCGCTGTGAACGTTAATTATAATATGATTTGACATCAGCAAAGCCGCAATAACACTGATCTTTCCTATGAAACAACGTATGAACATATTTCGACAAAAGCAACACGAGTGCTCGTCGTAGGTGCTGAGAAATAGTCTCAAGTAATTTCTGAAGAAACAAATGAACCGGCTCCCCTCGCACTTGGAACTCGCTTTGCAAACCGCGCGGCCCATGTAATCGGATAATAAAAAGGGCAAACGCGGTAAATATAAGATGAGGAAGACAGTTTTACGACCGGTACCTAATTAAGTGGTGAACCAACCAACGAAACGAAGAAAACGTTTACTACGTAAGTAGGTGAGGCAAAATAGATTTGAGTTAGGACAACGATGATTTTTACAGGGTGACAAACAAATCATAAATCGAGTCACCTGTTAGATTTGTACGTACATTGAAATAAACACAAAGTAAATTGTGCATTACAATTCAAGCCACAGGTTAACAGTTAGGTATAATTATGTATCTGCATCTTGTACTGTGAGCTGAGATTTCCGATTAGAATAAAAATAATCAGCTAATCAGTGAGAGGGTACTGGCGGGCAGCGCGGTGAGCTTGTGTGAATTATTTTGGGCGTGCAGGTAGGGCGGGCGCGTAGGAATGCGACCTCACCTGAGCGCGGCTGATTCACTCAGCTAAATCAGTGCGCTCTAAATATTTATTACAAACAACACTCGAGATACTACATTTACACTGAAAATGCAACGCTGTGGAAACTTTAACTGCCTCTCTGAGGCGTCAAATATTTAAACCAGAACGACAACATCATGACCTTTAGTCAAAATCGAAAATTAAAGATTTATTACGGTCCCGTACCAATTTGGGGATGGTAAACGTTTAATTTGGCCTGCTCCGCGGACACGGGTCCGAAGCCTGAGGCGATTCATTAGCTCGACCGTGTCAGAACAAACAAATTAACGCGACGGGCATGTTTTACTCGGTGATAAAAGGGCGCGAGGGCTGCGGGCAGGGCGCCAGATGCGTGCGGCCGCGCGGTAAATCTCGCGACCGATCTATCTTCTCACTACCGTGCCCTAAGATCACCTAGAGTGCTTCAGATGTAATATGATAATACCTAAAGGATCATCAGCATACAAGTCAGCTGATTTCCGGAACGAATTGGAGCGCCCACATAACAGAAGTAGCATAATAGCAATTAAAAAACCTAATACTAATACCATAATTTCTACATGCTATTTATTCCAAACAAAATTTTCCTGTATGTAAGGCCATCATATGAAAGTGAAATACATCAATATCATACAAAAAAAATATCATGCCAGTAAGATTTCAACTACATCAGTTGAAAGGTGTAAGTGCAGTACTATGAAGGGTGTCGGTGACCGATGCCCTACGCCCAACGCATCACGCGAACCGCGAGTCGCCGCGCCCTGGCCCCCATTGCGTAAATGGCTTCAGTTAATTAAGTTTAATCAGACAGAACTGTGATACCAAGCCGTCCATCTGCCAGTGTATACTGACGCCCACCAGATACAATTACACGTGTGCAGGCAAACGAATTAGTATAGAGTAACTAACAACCACGTAGTGATATGAGTGATAACAAATAAAGATAATTTGATTTAAAAAAATATAAAAACGAACGAATGTATTCACTGAAATCTGTATTCGTTTTGAGCAGTAGTGAGAAACTATGCTAAATTTTCAAACTGTTTTTGAGCTATTTCACCATCACGGCGCGGATAGGCTATGAACGGAAAAGGGACAATTTCGAATTACTTAGAAATTCAGGATAGTTAATTTTTTGGCCTCCTGTGCATTTCATTGCGTAAGTTACTTAACTCCCACATCTTAGGACGCTCACCGCTGCGCCCCACCGAGCTCAACACAATATTGAATTACTGAAATGAAAATAAATGTGTATTTCCTATTTTTGGAACCCAAAAAGTCGATTATATTGCGGGCTTTTTTACAGATATATACATAGATACAATACTTCTAGATAAGTGAAAATGGCCGATACAGATAGTCAAGTATGGCGTGCTAGGTAACTATTAACGCAGCGTGACGAATCGTCCGGCCGTCGTGGTGCTGCGGTCGGGGCGGGCGGCGGGCGGGCGGCGCGCAGCCGAGCGTGCCCGCGCGCCCGCCTCTCACGCGATCTTATCGCGCCTTCCGCGAACATCGTACAGCTCGCCCGTGTCTATTCCGTGACTCCCTTCGCCCTCTCTTCACTTTATTCCAAATTCATAAATTAAATTTTGACTTTCACAAAACTTGCAACTATTTGGGTTGAACGTTGAGACCGCATAGAACGTTGACAGTTGTCGGTTATCAACACGCATAATGAGCGGTGAATCCTTTGACCGACTGTACCGGGGTTGGCCGGCGACGCGGGCACAAACGGTCGCTAATTAGGCGACGCAGATCTGAAGCCACCACCGAATTAGTGAGATTGTACTAATGGCTTAACCGGCTACTAAACCAGAAGCGAGCGCATTCATAAATTACCCGAAAAGTTAAATGCCATTTTTATGATTGCATTCTACAGAATTATACTAGAATTTTTCTAACTTAATATTGTCCATTACATAGGAACAAATAATAATAATAAAGAATGAAAACGAGGCTAGGAAATATCACGAGTATATATGTTTGCAAATTTGACTATTTTTGAGACTAAAATTAAAAATACTTTAGTGGCCCAATACCACCACATACCTACTGTAAATAAGTTTTGATCTAATTCGACAAGAACCTAACATTTTCGGGCTTTTAAAACATGATAGTAGATAATATTTTGAAATCATTTGACATACTCGAGGTAAAAAAAAACTGCTGTCTATAATATAAAAATTAAACTTTTCCAGGCTACTTTATAGTAGAAGATAAAGTCTGGTTTCATTAATTGCGAATCCGTCAACGACCCATCCCTCGTGTCTACGTGTTGGTAACGTATCATCTCTTTAATCGAATAATATATAGAAGTTTCTCCACTTCTTAAGCCTTAATTGCGAGGTATCAATTCGTACGATTCAGACTTGATGAACAGCGGGAGAACATATTGTCTTTTAAGACGTTTATTCCCGAATTGATAATGATAATATCACTGTCCAGGAGTTGATCTGCTGTTAACACAAACATCGTGTCTTACACAAGTGGTTCAATAGTAAAGCTTTCTGACACAGTTCCTGTTACTTAGACATAAAATAACAATTGCTTTCTTACAATCAAATTTAGAAATGAATGATATAAGGTCGTTTTACCCTAACACTCGGTAATTATTTTCATACCTGGTTTATGGAAAAGTAATAAGTGTTACTTAATTG